CGTTTTTGCATTGCTCACATTACCAGAGCTGCTCTGCAGACATATGGGGGAGGCCTTCTCCAAGGAATGTGCAGCTAACCTAAGCCAACCTCTTTGAACACACACACCACAGAGCTCCAAAAAGGGCTGTAAAGGAGCAGAGGAAGGTTTTGCTTGTTTTCTTAAAGGCTTTTTAAATTTGATGTGTTTATTTATTTGTAACCCAGGACTGAGGGGAACAGAAATGCTGTTTTTTGCTCTCCAGGTAACTGCCAATGGTGCCCCTTTTCTGTCCACTGTAAAGAAAATCAGACAGGCAGGTAACAGAAAAATGGAAGAATCAAAGATGGGTGCCGGTGGATTAGGCCCAAATCCTGTGCAAGTAGCCTGTAAACTGCTGTGTGTTGGTGATTTTGTTATCGTGGATCCACTGCTGCGAGTGGTAAAGGAACATGGTCTCTGCCACGAAGGTTTTGTGAGGCAAGATTCCCGAGCAGCGGGTATGAAGTGACTTTACAGGGTTCATCGGGTAGCACAGACTAAGAATGAGCCGCTTGGGACTGGTGGAATTGCTGTATGTCCTAATACTGGACCCGGCCCAGGTCCGGTGCTGCCTTTGGTGCTTTGCGCCATCTCCATTTTGGAGTTTTTGGTCCTGTAGAGCAAGGAGGCCAAATCCAGGTTTGTTCCTCCATGGAGTGGCAACAGTGCTGCTAATGGGGGAATTCAGTGCGGCAGGAATGTGCCTGATACCTTTGGGTTTTTTTTGTGTAATCTATTATTCCTCCCATGTTAAAATAGAAAGTCAAGGCTTGATGATTCACGTGCTCCTTGGGACTCCGCTAAGCACCCATCCCTGCTGGAAACGTGTCGCTGTTGAGTTGTTCAGCTGGTGGGGTTGCTTAGAAAAATGAGCCTGAACCTTGCACTGGAGATAGAGAAAGGAGTTAAAAAATACTTAATTGTTAAAATCCTCCAACCACTAGTTTCTTTGTTTGGGGTATTTGTTTTATGTGCTGTTTTTGTGGAAAAGGAAGGAAGGAACTTTATTTATCAGTGGGAGTCATGTCATCAAGGTAAACGAAAGCAGGCTCAGGCCTTCAACTGTAAATACTTGTAGTATAATTATGTATTTTCTTGTTCCTTGGTTCCCCAGGTTGATACTGGATGGTGCCCCTCTTATAGCTATACATAAAGCCAGGTACTTCAAGAAGA